ATGAAGCCATAAATCGAAAACTATCGATAAATCGGAATTTTACTGGATACTCATTAATGTGCTTTGTAAAAGATATGTATTTTCCTTTGGTGATCGGTAAAAGATCAATAGTTCCTTTCATTCGGGTCGCAATGTCTGTAATTATAAAGTGGGCGTCATAACCACTCAAATTATGAAAAACAACTGGAACAACATGGGTGTCTTGATAATTTAAGTTGCCAGTTAAATATCAAAATGACGTAGGGTCAGAGTATGAAGACTAGAGATAAGGAGGCAAATCGGCCTTGGTCAAATTTCAAATTTCCGTCCCTATTTTTATGGAGTTCCAAAAAACTACTGTAGTTGGCGGGGTGGCAAAATAACGACGTCTATTTTCTATGCAAGTCAATGGGAATTAAAGTGATTTTTGTAAAATTTAGTGAAAAGAGTAAAAATAAGCTGAAATAAAGAACCTGACTACAAGTAACAATGAGTAACAAAAAACGACAAAGCAGGATTATCTTTTTACCGGGTTGCAAAACGGGTTATAAATCCGATATAAAATTAAAGAAATCACAAGGAGATACAAATCCAAGTCTTTTTAAAGCTCCTAGTGTAAGTAAAATAATGTATTTATTTCTAAATAATATATATTTATTGTAAAATAGTCACAACCCGTATCTTACGGAGTGTAGTTTATTTAATTACAAAATTCTATAATAAAAAATAATAAAGACATAAATTCTGACTTACAAACAACAATAATTACACATTAAATTTAACTTACTAGAAAAGAAAATTTGCTTTTTTTATATTTTTTGATGTTAGATGAAGAGTTACTACTGTTATTTTTCTTTATTGAACTTCAATTTAGTCGTTGCAAATATTTTTTATAGGATCCTAAACGTTTAGAACAATGGCAGCATGTGATTCCTAGGGCTGATAAAATACTGTCTACTTATGATTCTGTTTGCGAGCTACATTTTTTTGAAGATATTTTAAAATTTGATGAGACTATTTTAACTAATGGTACTGTTAGCAAAATAAAAAGGGGACAGCTGAAATTAAAGGATGAGGTAATACCATGTACATTCCCAAATCTCCCTTTATACTTGTATTACAACGATAAAAAATCTGTTAACTGTGTTTTATTTTACTCTTAAAACTATTATTGGTTCAATTCAAAAAAAAAATTTGCCACAAAATTGTACTTATCAAATTACAGCAATTAAGAAACCTTTTCGAATTTGGTCATACATACCAAAATTGTATTTTATATAGATAAAATTAAATAATTTATCAATTAAAACATGCAAGACTTATTTAGAAATAAATACAACAGTATGTTTTGTGTTTTATTTAGCTGTAAACAAGTTTATTTTTATTATTTTGACAAAATTATGTATAATTCCCATAAAAAGCCATGTATTTTGAACTACGTAAACCGTACCAGTGCCCATGCGGTTAATTATAAAAGCTCAATTGACGTGTGATTTTTGGGACCGGATTTTGAGTATGCCGATTCGCCTCCTTACCTCTAGTCTTCATAGGTCAGAGTTTAGATTGTTCTCAATTTTTTATGGTATGCTTTGTATTTATCTTTTGTTTGAAGTTTGATGATATTCCTTAAGTTTTTAAAATAATTGCACAATGACGGACTTACTCTTTTTTTTTTGAATTTACACGATGTAATTTATTATTTTCTCTAATGTTACGTATCAAATCCATGAAATACCGCAGAGGAAATATAGGTTTACTACAAGAATTTTTAATCTGTTCTTAGGAACAGCTATCTCCAAGAAACCATACATATGATGATCATAGAAAAATTTCAAACTGTCATTTACATCTGTTATTGTAAACAGTTCCGACCAATTATAATTTTTGACAAGGCTATACAAAAGTGAAAAATCTCATTTGGAAAAATGGTATACATACTTTTTGTGACACTAGACTTTAGCAAAAACTGCTTTGAAATCAAATCAGGTAAACCAAGACTCGATTTCTCAAGGTTTGTTTTGGAATACCTTTGAAGAACTTATCAGTATGACAGCAAATACATCACCATCATACGGAGTCCCTACTGTTTCATGGGGACAGTATTGCTATTTCTTAAATGCTAACAGATAGAAAGTTGGTTAAATTAGACAAAAGTTGCGTAGTTTTGTGCTCAATAAAATGGTGTCACGAAATCTTTGATATCTACAGGGAGATTTAAAATATCAAACAAAAAAATTAAAATTGTCATTTCTTTAAATTCAATAATTTTTTGTCCTATATTTTGAATCTCCTTGTAGATATCAAAGGTTTCTTGGCACCATTTTAATGAGCAGAAAACTGCGCAACTTTTGTCCTATTTAACCAACTTTCTATCTGCTATCGTTTAAAAAATAGCAATACTGTCCCTATAAAATAGTAGGGACCATGTATAGGAAGAAGACTGATAGTGATATAATACATAAAATTGAAGGTGAACTTAAAATTTGCATTAAATTAGAGAAAATATCAAAAATGGAGATCCTTTGATTTGGTGTGCACAAAAATAATACATTTTTCTATTATGATAAAATTAATTGTGCAATGATAATCTACCACCCTCACCAAGTAGTGTGATTAGTGAACAGCAATTCTCTTTAGCTAGTATTGTATAGGGCGATTCATTAAGGATGGAGACCGGTTGTATCTCAGATTATCTTGAAGTAGATCGCAAAAACAGGTCAATTTTTGTTTCAATTGAAGTGCCTTTTTATATGCTAAAACTGTCATATGTCATTCCTGTCCCCCGCCGTCACTCTCACCAATACAATGTAAATAGGGCATACACCAAGTATGACATCATCGAAAAGGTAATTTTATAGGAAATTCAGCAATACTGTTCATTTCGTTACTTTTTATTTTAACGCCCTCTAGCTGGATAAAAAAACTTACGTATTGTAAAGTGTGATACTTCATTTGAAACCTAATTTTTTTAGTATTCCAATGCATCACCTAAATATCTCCATATTCCACTTGCAACAAAATTAAATTAGTAATATTGAATTTTTTTTTTCATTTCTGGTTCAATTTTGATTTAGTTTACATAATGTTATGTAGTGCGTTGAATTACCAATAAAATTAGCTTCTCAAATAAGTATCACACTTTACAATACGTTATAGTTTTTTAATCTCGCTGGAGGGCATTAAAATGAAAAGTAATGGAATGAACAGTCATATTGCTGAATTTCCCATAAAATTAAAGAAAATCCATGCCATTAGGATTATTAACTAGGTAGGAACATAAAAATATAGACTTTCGGTGGTTTGTCATACTTGATACTTTCCCTATTTAAATTGTGTTGGTTAGATTGGCGGAAGGGATATAAATGACATATGATAGTTGATACTATAGAAATAAAAATCGACTTGTTTTGCATTTCTTGAAAAAATTATACTTCAAAGATTTTCTGAGGTACGGCCGGGTCGGTCGCTACCATTTATGAATACCCTATATGAATGTACAAGAAATCGTCTAACCTCAAAAAAAAGCACAAATTTTAAATTTATTTGCATTTTAACGTACCAAAAAGTATATTTTTTAACTTAATCTTTTCCGTTTAGATTTTAAATGTTTTTTTCTTAAATTATAAATAAAAATATCATTTAACTTGTTTTTTATTTAATATTTTTTTCTTTAAAAAATTCTTAGCAATTGAAAAATTTCATTGATATTGATACCGATATTGGCCGGAATCGGTCGATCTCTAAAAATATTGTTAGGAATTTGAAAAATATGGTTAAGTTCAAATCATTGCACTTATTTTTAAGTGATTTTGATTTAGTTTATTCAATAAAATCAAAAACCAGTGCTAATTTTTTTAATTTTACAAATTTCATGCTTGATTATGGATTTCAAAAGATGGAGGAATAATTTTTTTTTGTGAAATGTTTGATGAACTTTTTTCTCATTTCGATAAAACTTTTTGGGACACACTGTAGAAAAAAAAAATCTGGGACGAATTTCATCTTGGACAAAATTATCAATCAACAGGAAGACACAATTAAGATTCAAAGACGTTTAAAATTATGTATCGACTCTTGACCACCTCCTAAAATAATTATAAAAACCCCAAAAAGGTGTGAACAATTTCAAAATTAAATTTCGACTTGGAATAAATGGACAATCGACATAAGGGCACCATAACGATCCATAATGGCTTAGAATTTTGTTTCGATGTTTGACCACCCCCTAAAATAATTATAATGAGCCCAAAGCGAGTGAAGATTCTAAAAATAAATTTTCCAAGTCGCAATTCGATTTGTTTTGTGAAATATTTACCTTTCAATTTTTATATTCCTAGATAAAATTTAATCACAATCGACATAAGGGCACCATAACGATCCATAATGGCTTAGAATTTTGTTTCGATGTTTGACCACCCCCTAAAATAATTATAATGAGCCCAAAGCGAGTCGATGGTGTAGCGGTCTATCGCGCTTATATTCATTTATAGGCGAGTTTATGAGTCCGAGACTGCTGGGCTTTGAATCCCAGACCAGACCATGTGGATTTTTAATTAAATTGCATGGTTCGGTTTAGGATTTGATGTGTGCCGTATTAATGGAAATTCAATTTCTGTTGATATGACATGCAGATTATAAAATCGCCATACATTATCGTCTCGATGATGGTGGGTAAGGTTTTCCGGGTTTTCCTCACCTGTAAGTCAAATGGCACCATCAATCATCCTTAAGTCGCCCCGGAGCGCCACGGCAAATAATAATAATAGCCGTCCCTTCCCCTACACAAGTCATTCAGTCGACTTCAGGGGTTGAAATTCACTCGTAAGCGGGTGAATTAGGGAGAGTATTATTATTATATTATTCTAAAAATAAATTTTCCAAGTCGCAATTCGATTTGTTTTGTGAAATATTTACCTTTAAATTTTTATATTCCTAGATGAAATTTAATCACACTTTATACATAACGAATATGGCACTCTCATTTTTAGAATTAACTTTTTCATATTGTTTCTTCTTTACAGGACGGCTTAGAAGTAATGCTTAATGTTCCAAAGAAAGCAAACGATGCTATGCACTTGTCTCTCCTCGAAGGCTGTGATATGTCTACAGATAAGTTGGGCGAAGTCGTTCTTCAAGACGCCTTTAGCGTCTGGGATCCGAAGCAACTCATTAGAAAAGGACGAGACAGGCATATTTTTCTTTTCGAAATGTATCTCTTATTTACCAAAGAAGTTAAAGACTCCATAGGAAAGGTCAAGTACATCTACAAAAATAAATTAATGGTGAGTTTCATTATTTGTAATTTTTGTTATTTTATTTTGAGTCTATTTTAAATAATTAATATTCATCACCACTTTTCTTTGTTTAAAGTGAATTCTAACTGTTATTTTTCTCTTGTCAGACCTCAGAGTTGGGTGTCACCGAGCACATGGAAGGTGATGAATGCAAGTTTGCAGTATGGACTGGTCGCGCTCCTATTTCGGACTACCGTATCGTGCTTAGAGCGTCTTCGCTTGAAACTAAGCAACTCTGGGTTAAGAAATTGAGAGAAGTCATACAAGAAACGTATTTCAGTGGAGCCTTGCCTCTGTCGTTACCAAAGAGTCCAGCTAAGTTGAAGCCACATAGTCAGAGGTCGAGTCGGTAAGTAAAAATTATTATTTTCCTATATTAAGGAAAAATTGGTGAAGAAATTAAAGATCGATAACATTTTTACAATAATTAAAGTTAAAAATTGACAGTATCGTTTAATTGGACTACAGAATGAATAAATTTAGCTTTGTCAGAGGCCACTAAAGAAATTAACCTCTTAAGATCCACAGTCACTATATAAAGTGTTACCACTAAAAAAAAGCTAAAATTGATCAGTAAAAATCAGCTGGGTGTATTTACTTTCATTTTTAACCTGTTAGAAGTACAATGTGCAATCGTGCAAATCACAATAAATTTTAGTTTTTATCAAGTAAAAAATATAAGTGTAGACGAATTTTCAATATATATTTATTATTATCATTTACTGCTTGAAAATACAAATAAAACATCTTAATTTGCACGTTTCCTTTAATTTACTGAAAATAGAAACCTTTTTTGAGTACATTACGTTTACAATATTTATAGTATCTTGGCCTAAGATTAAAAGCATTTCGGTGTATTCAAAATTTGAATACATTTTGAATATTAATTAACTTATTTATCAACAATATTTAATGTTATTGACATTACAGTCTTAACTATCAATAAATGTCAGTTTTCCACAGCTAACTCAGACAAAACCATTTTGAGGTGTAAGACGAACCTTAAACTTTTTTAACGGAGGGCAATTTGATCTCTTTCTCCAACTGATTGAATATTTCATGTTTTTAGTCAAATTTATTTCAATTTTCTTGTAACTTTATTTAATTAATAGCAAAGCATTAGAGTAATTTTATTGTTTTTGGTTTTTAATAAATAGGTAATTATTATTTTCTACACCCGTATTATAATAATGCACTTATATGCCCATAATCCATTTCATAATGATACCCATTATGATACAGATATTTCATAATGATACAGAGTTTTATTCAATAGAAACGCATAATTTTTCAATCAAGCATGCTCTGTGCATTTGACGTTTGTCCTAGGTTCTCATGTAATTATTTTAGTTGTCAAAATCTGTACGTATTACATTTTCGTAGATAGCTAAACTTCGATAATTATATCAAAATGTCTGATATCAGCGATATAGAAGACTTACCATTGACTCCTCCACATATATCAGAGAAAGCAGAAAATGTAGTACAAAATATTTTGCCCTAAAAATCTATGGTAATACCAATACCCGAGGTAATACCATTAATTACAATTTTGTAGAATTTTTTATAGAAATACGAGTAATTACTTTATTGTGTTCAATACAAATATAAATATAATATTTATAGTTCTTGATTATTTATCGGATGTAGAAAAAATAGCGTATGCAACTCTCATGATCGTTGCATAATATATTATTTAAAAACGCAATATCGAGTACCTTTTTGATGTAAAATTGAATGATGTTTTGAGTTTACACAAAATTTGGACTAGAAAATTTATCCTCAAAAAAGTTATGAGTAAAACTACTCGGTACGAACCGTGTAACTACCAATGTGTCGGCTTCCAAAACTTATTCGTATACAATTTCATTACAATCTGGCTCGTAGTTTCGACATAATAGTAAAAAATGTGAATACATTTTTTTTTTCAATACCCTGTATCTTGAAAAAGATACCGTTACGAACATTTTTTACTGAACAAACCCAACTTATTTAGCATTATTCTACCTATCCTACCTTTTTTTGAAACACCCTGTATAAGCAAGATCGTAATACACTACACACCTCATCGCCGAGCCTGAATAGAAATAAAAATGTAAATGTCTGTTGTCTCTAAACTTTGGATTCTCGGTAGACCATTAAATATTTTAATTTAATTTCAGAGACATGGAGGAGTGCAATTCCCTGGACGAGAGTGTTGAAAATTTGGACCGCAACTCGTTAACTTCGTTTGGTTCGGGAAATACTACAGATTCGGACAAGGTAAGTGAAAGATTTTAATTTGCTTTCGAGCGGACTTTTTAAACTATTATTACATTTTCACCTAAACCATGTTAATGCAGAAAGCATTTGTAATATTAAACCATAACAACAGTTAACTTATTTCGTCAGTGCTCTTTTACTTTTAATTAAAAAAGTGTTGGCATTCAAAAAAATTAGTAATAACGCGTCATATATCTTAAATACTGATGACACGATAAAAAATACGTTAACCAACAAATCGGGCAAAATAAAGATAGTTTATTTCAGCGATGAACGAGAATTAGTTGGTTAATTTTAAAATAAATTAAATGGGAACGCAAGAGGATTTCCGAGATAAAATAAATTTGATATGGAAACTCAATACATAAAGGCTGCCATAGTCGTACAGGTATACTTGAACAGTATACAATATACATGTACCAGTTTATTGCACAAGTATGCTTGATATCTGTATAAACAACACATGTACAAGTTTGCTTGCACATTGGTTCTATTTCTCTTAATTTTTCTATTAGTTCTTTAAAGACGTCTCCCTTTTTCCCCTATCGTGGTACTCTTTGCTTTTAGCCACAGGCACGGGCTCATGTTTATAAATAGAAGTAAATTCTTCGAGGTATTGTGTTAGTATAGTAACTTTTCATAGCACCAAAATCGTATTTAGGCGCTCATTAATATATTCCCTAATAAACCAAATGCCAAAAACTTCATATATATGTCAGCTTGAAATCAAAATTAATTCATACAATTCTGTATTATATTTCTATTTCTGAATCGTTTGTAAGTATTTAATATGAATCCTGGATTTGTGATTCATCTAATTTAAAAACATCCACAAACGTCAAATAAAACTTTACAGCATGGGCGCCGGCAAGGGGTGGGGGGAAAAGGGGACAGTTGTCCCCCTGGAAATTTCCAAGTTCCCAAAAAATAATTATACAATAGCAACTTCTGTCAAACAATTATTGTTCACAGCCAATACTAGATAAGTCTGCAAAAATAGAAAAATGACTGTTATATAGGTATCTTCAAACAGTTTTTAGTGCTCTTTCTGTTAATATACTCCGTTTTGTGAAATTTCTTATCTAAGTATTGTTAATTAGTATTCCGAAAAATCGATATATGAGTAAAGATCAATTTTTTTCGAAACTATTAATCAATAGAGCGAAAATTCGATATCATATCATATCATATTTCTGCAATTGTCAATTTAAAAAAATAAATAAAGCAATCCGTTTAATCATTATAAGTAATATGTACTATAAACTGACTCACGCAAACCATCAAAAGCATTTATTTGTAATTAAAAGAACAAAAAAATACTTAAACGGCAATATCCCATAGAGCACAAACACATTTCGGAAACATTTGTAATGTATAAATATTACGAAACATCCCAGAAATTTTTCTGAAATGTGCCTTAAGGTAGTTCACTCGTAAAACGGCTTTTCTTAAGAATTCAATAAAATTTAAATATAAGGTTTATGAAAGTGTCGTTTACGTAACTAAAAAAATTAGATTTTTTGACCATCTGTGAAACGAGATATTAACAATCATAATGTGCATAATTAACACTCTTGAAGCCTATCATGTACACAAGCAATGCATTTATTTCAAGATATCTCGAAAACGGTTCTTACCATATTTTTTAAAAACTAATGTTAAATAAATCAAGAAGTTATCAAATTTTATAGATAATCGCTGAATTTTTTGACTATCTTAGTAAAAAGATATAGATTTTTAAAATAAAAATATTTTTAAAGCAGTTGACGAGTAGTTTCGTAAAATTATTACAACTTGGCAACATTGTAGCCACTTCACGTATCAAAGTAACACTCGATCAGCTAAGAGGTTGTTATAAACTCGCGACGTGTTCTTGAAAAATTAATTCGTCCACTGTGTTTGAGAACTGGAATCAGCGGTTCTGTTTGAACCAAAACAAACCCTTAAAATTAGTATGAGGAAGTCACAAATTTCTATACCATATCGTTTAAATATTTGCGAGTTTGCCGGATGAAATTGAATAAAATTATTCAATTATATCAATAATTCGATTATGCCCATCACTATCAAAAACGAGATAAAGTAAATAAACCTAACCTAAACAAGCATTATTTCTGTAGTACTTACCTCAATTTTTAAAGACATATTCTGCTTCCCATATAACAACAACACAATGCATAAATAAAAAAAAGAAATGACAAAAACCGACAACTCAAATCTATAATTATTTAGAATATAGGGTTGTCTCTGGCTGGATATGGGATGAAATCCTCCATGAATGAAATAAAATAACTACATATCCCATCTTCTTCTTACAAATCAGACATTCTTCAGTGTTGGCCTTTTACGATAAAACACGTTTAGTTACCTTCTGTGTAACATGTATACCATGTTTCATAAACATTTTCAGTGAAATATTTACCTAAAATATTTCAGGAACTTGTATTGAAATGTTATATGTTTGGAACGTTTGAAATATTTTTGAAATACAATAATTTGGGCTGTATGTGATCTTCATAACTAAATTTTATTACTTATCGGGTGTTCACTCTGGACCTTCGGTATATTTTTTATTCGGTAAGTTCGGCAGCATTGGACAACCACACCTAAGCTCATTATATTCCGTATCGTATTAAACGATAGCGGATAACGTCTATAAATTTCTGTAATTTTTTTAAAGAATTCGCATTCTTGCCCCCCCCCCCTCTAGAAAAAGTTCTGGCGGCGCCCATGTTTTACAGTTAGAACAAAAATACAAGCCACTGAAGTAATTTACGCATTACGAGAAGAAAACGGAAATTATTTAAAAATATTTGGCATCGTTGTAACAATGTTTAAATATTCTATAGGGTTAATTTAGACGGGAAATTTCATCAAAAATGGTTTTTTAAACCCAATTTTCTTCTAAATGTTTAATTAAAAGGATAAATTAATATTTTCTTGTTAAAATAAACACCATTATTGTTTCGACGTAAATAAGATTGAAAATTTCGATGCGTTGTTTACAGTCCATTGCAGTAAGAAGGTAATAGCTATTTATGTAACCAACTACGAAATGCCTAATTTTGTGTAATGAGTAAATATTTGCGGGACGAGCACTTTATGTGTCAAAATTAGAAAAAAGTAATTACAAACCTTTATTTTTGTAACAAAGAGTATCTAATATCTATTCAAAATAGTAGACATCAGAAAACTGAAAGGTTTTATATACTTAATGTAACGTTTGTTTAATTTATTTATAGTTTATTTATTTAAAACACTTTATTTACAATTTATTTATTACGTACTAATTAATTTATATAATACTTAGTCACTATTATAACTCACAATTCTAATTTATTTATTACAATTTATCTTTTCTGTCCAACACTTAAATATAATCTCCCCTCCTATCGACAAAGTCGCGGCTATTTATATAGAACCAGCTCTGTACCAGAACACTCTAGGCAACCTAGAAGCTTTAGGAAGTCTCTTTTTATGACTCATACGGTGCACCGTGATCATTCCGACAGTTTCGAGAAGCAGTGCGTTTGTCTCGATATGGCCAGCGCTACATGATGTTCTTTAAAATTCCTTAAGTACATGTTCAGAAAGGATATATTTCTGCCTTTGATTATTGTCTGTATCTAGAATGCAACTTTTTGACTGACTGATTAGAAAACAGTTATTTACTAATAAATTCTATGTTTTTTTACAAACTAAAAATGAAGAAAACAAGTATAACTTACTTTCGAAAATATTACAATATTACAACTTTTTTTTGGGAATAAATTTTGAATCCACGTTTGATATTAACCTTTAACTTCATTTGGCAACAGTATTTGCTTCTATCGGGAAATAAAACTGCGTCGCAACGTGGTCGAGACATGTCAAGTTGATAAAGTTTAACGCTCTATAAACTGAGTTATCAGCTTATGTCACATAAATTATTTATTCAAATATGTATATTGACCACAAAAAAGACAAAACAAATGCAGGCAGGTATTTTAATAATTTGTAAAAAATAAATATCTAGGATCTATATGTAAAAATTAATGTTAAAAATAGAAATTATGCGTTTGACATATTTGACAGTTGATGCGGAAAGTAGTTTCATATTCACACACGCATGGAAAGTAGATTCTTATTCACACGCGTGTGATATAGGACACTTCCCATAATTCTAAATAGTGCGATATGTATCACTTTAGTGGTCGTAGGAAAAATTGATAACATTGTTTTTTATAGCTAGATATTTATTTTTAATAAATTAATAAAATAATTTTAAAGTGACTACATTATTTTTATTTTTTTTCTGGTTAATATAGTATACCATAAAGTTGGACCATATGAGATTTTTTTTAATATTACGTTTGTAAAAAACGTCGTAGGATAATCACCTCTGCTTATTAAAAAACTCAAAATAGCCCATATCAAAGTTGGCTACTGACATTGTAGTTATCTGTCAAATCTGCATTTAAAGAAAAATCCATTTTTGAACATTTTTTTAAAAACATGGCGAATTTGACAGATAACTAATGTCAGTAGGTAACTTTGATTTTCATTCGTAATATTAAAAAAAATCCCATAAAGATCCAACTGTACGGCACACACTACATATATTTGATCAGATAATTCATGTAACATAAAGACGATAGCTAAGTTTATAGGGTGATCAACTTTATCAAAAGTTCATGTCGCGACCATGTCGCAACGCGGGTTCCATTCCCGATAGATGTTTGTAACCACGTTCTACCCGGGAAGGCGGAGCTAAAGCAATGCGCGTAGAGATAGGCGCAAACCGTTCCCGACATCTGACTCCCCTAGCTGATTGTTGAGGTAACCTGTAGTCTAATTATGTCATCAATATAGAGTGAAGTTAGAGACAACATAAACACTATTTAGCGTTATGACAGATGGACGCACTTCGAGTGATGTATAAGTGTAATCAAAATGGCAACTTAGAGTGGTAATTTGATTTATTTGAAGTCAATAATTTTATATTTGAAGATTGACGGGATGAAAATGTTTATATATTATTTAAATGAACCTATTAAAAAAAGGCATTTATTCTCACCAAAACTGACTAGCTCCACTAGCTTGAGTTTGACATATGACGTAAAAGTGTAATGCAAAGGTGTGGATACTTTAGTATCGTTATAGCATCTCCTCTTTAGTCTATCTCAAATATCAATCAATTATGTATACTCGATTCAATTCGGGCGCCTGTTTTTTGTCACCTATAAGTAGGATATTTGTTTATTTACATTTTGGGCTGGCATTAGTATTTGTACTTCTTTAAGGTGATTACAGCACCCCTTATAATTTTCGAAAAAGCATATCTCAAAAAGTAATTTTTTAAAAAAATTAAAATTTTTACAAAATAAATGAGGCAATAATATCTAAAATATGCATATATTTTAAAGTTTTTGTTCCTTCCAGTTTCCAAGAAAAAAAAAAAATCAAAGCTTTAAATTTTGAAATATCATAATGAAAATAAATGCATTCCTCAACAGCACTATTCTTAATATAATCCCCAAATTTAAGCTCGTTATTGATTTTTTTAAATTCGCAAAATAGTGGCTAAAACGCTTCGTTAAGTGCTATTTTCTGGTTTAAACTGGTGTAAATCATTGCAAAAAACAAATGATGACTCAGAGTGTAGGATACGATAGTTACAGTCGCGTTACATCAGAAAGCAGCAAATAACGAGGCGTTTTAGCCACTAATTTCGGCGAATTTTATAAAATCATTAACAAGAGATTAAGAGCTTAAATTTGGGGACTATATTAAGAATACTGCTGTTGAGGAATGCATTTATTTTCATTATGATATTTCAAAATTTAAAGCCCTTTGATTTTTTTCTTGGAAACTGAAAATAATTAAAACTTTAAAATATAAGCATATTGTAGATATTATTGCTTAATTTATTTTGCCAAAATTTTAACTTTAAAAAAATAACTTTTTGAGATATGCCTATCCGAAAATTATAAGGGGGTGCTGTACTCACCTTAACTGTTCTTAGATTTATTATCATTATAATGAATTGAACAAGAATAAAGCACTTCTTACAATTTACCTTCAAATGAACAGAAATTTTCTTCTAGGAAATGCAAAAACACGCTTGCTATGACGTTTTTGATTAGAAATAGACCGTTTCCTCATGTCGTCTCTCTCATCATAATTGTCCATTTTATTTTTATTAAATACTTTACGGTTACCCTCGACGAGTCCGTTTTGATATGGAAGTGCAACCTTTAAAGCAGTAATATTAATTGCAATTTGCTGGAGGCATTTTCTAAAATTTAATTTTTAACAAAAAACGCTATCTCCACACACTATAAAAAATAACAAATTTAATGCTCACACTCTCATTAACAAGAAAATTTCGAATTGATAAAAGTTAAACTATCAGTGGCAACACAAGCGAAAACGATGCCAATGTTGCCAACGACGAAGTGTTTTTAAAAGAAAATTGATAAATGAAATGAAATTTGTTGGAAGGTATGGTATTATATTAAACACAAGGTGAATATCCTTTATAGTTCATTTATTAAAAGAGCCGTAATTATAATGTTGCTTAGTCGAGTGCTATTATATAACTGACTTCTACTGGATATTATTGGTTTCAATCGGTCTTAAAAATACACATATAATATATTGTTGACAGTAATATAAAGAATTACTGACTCAGCTTGCTAGAAGGCCATTCTCTATATACTAATTAAACAGAGCGAATATTATTTTTGTATAACAACAAAATATAAAAAAATCAATATTTCAGGTTATAAAACATATTTTAATGATGCTAACTATAACAGAAATGATGGTGTTTTGATCTTAGTCAGAAATGATATCAGGACTGAATTTTCTATTCTAAAATTTGCATTATCTAAAGCAACGTTAGGACAATTAGAATGTTATGTATTGGGTAGTTCAATAGGTATTAATGCAATATATAAACCACCACCAATTCCAAAGGCAGATTTTATAAAAGATATTCATGGTCATTTAATTTCACTGGGAAACTCGAATAACTTAGAACTACTAGTGGGTGATACAAATTTTAATATACTAGATACAATAGATAATGAAAATTTTAATTATATATCTACATTGTCGGAACTTGGATTTTCCTCATATATAAACACTATTACACGAAATGACACGAAAAGTTGTTTAGATCACATATTTGTTAAACAAATCCAAAGGCCAAATTCATTTGATTTTCAAACTTTTGTTCTAGACCATCACATAACAGACCACCTCCCAATTATGATTAACATCTCGCTAAAAAAATCATTACTGAGAGAACCCACAGATCAAACAGAACATAGAAATAAACAACATTCTATAATAAAAATAGATATAGATAAATTAAAACAAACACTGAATAACCAGGACTGGTCACCCATAACAAATGATGTAAACCCGGAAACGGCTACCAATAAATGTATCTCGATCTTTAAAAAAGCCCTAGAAGTGGCAATATATATAACAATTCTAAAACAATACAAAAAACGTAAAAAATTGGATAACTAATGGATTAATAACATCTATAAAACATAGAGATAGATTAAAACGAAACCTGATAAAAAATTATAGCATATAACTAGATAAAGAATATAAATCATATCGAAATTATCTTCAAAAGCTAATTATTAAACAAAAAAATGAATTTTACCAAAATGAAATCAACAAAAACAAAAACAACATAAAGAAATTATATCATATTATAAAAGAATGTACAAATGAAAACCAAACTAAAAATGAACAAATTATAATTCACAGAGATGACAGCACAGAATTTAAAGATAATACGGATATGGCAAATTACTGCAACAATTACTTTTCTAGGATTGGTCTAGATATGGCAAAAAAAAATCCAGATACAGACGAACCATACGAGTTGAAATACCCCAATCCACATTCTCTTTTTCTATTCCCAATAAACAGAAATGATTTAATTACTCACATCTCTGCATTAAAAACAAACAGTGCTCCTGGATACGATGGTATACCAACACATATAATTAAAAAAACTCATCTAGAGATCCTTATACCTCTAACCCATATCTTTAATTTGTGCTTTGAAACAGGGACAATTCCTACTCACTTTAAATCCACAGTAATAGTTCCTATACATAAAAACGGACCGAAAACAAACATAAAAAACTATCGTCCCATAAGTCTGATAAACGGTTTTGCCAAAGTATTTGAAAAATGTCTAAAACAAAAATTAATTGAATTCTTAAATCAGTGTAACATTCTACATAAAAATCAGTTCGGATTCTTGGCAGGTTGTAGTACCAACGATGCACTAAATGAATTTACAGCAAAAATAATGGAAAACCTTAACACTGGTAGGAAATGTGCAGGATTATTTATTGATCTGGCTTTGACACGGTTCCACACAACAGGCTACTAAATTATCTTGAGCATTATGGGGTCAGGGGGGCTGCGTTAAAGGTATTTGAGAACTATTTAAAAAACAGATATCAACTTGTTAAACTAAATGGCGCATACAGTGAAAGACACGAAATAGGGATTGGAGTACCTCAGGGCAACGGTCTTGGGACCAATTTTGTTTGTCGTGTACCTAAATTCACTCCTGGGAGTGGATATTGAGGGAACAATAATTTCCTTTGCTGACGATACCGTCTTAGTTTTTGATGGAGTAGACTGGAATGATGTTAAAAACAAAATGATAACGGGCTTAACTAGAGTAAAAAATTGGCTAAATACAAACAAACTCTCTTTAAACTTAAAAAAAACTAATTATATAGCTTTTTCGTTAACAGCTTCAACATGCCCACAATACTCTTTCATTATGCTTGAAACCGAAAAAATTAATGAAGTCTCAAAAATAAAGTATTTGGGGGTCATTGTAGATCAGTACATGAAGTGGCATGAACACATAAATTACATTTCTAATAAAATTCGCAAACTAATTTACATATTTTATTGTTTAAAATATGTTTCAAATAAAAAAAATTTAGTCATAATATATAAATCATTTATTGAATCATTAATAAGATATGGAATTTTGGTTTGGGGAGGTTCATATGATAATGCATTATACAAATTAAATATAATACAAAAGAAAATACTAAAAATCATCTATGGTAAGAATAAAATGTATCCAACAGAACTGCTGTTTACAAATGATACTTGCAATATCAGAACCATCTACATGTCAACAATATGCAGTTACATACATACTCGAAATTCCCTACAAAACATTGTAAATCATCAATATCACACAAGAAATAAAGTAAATAAAAAAATTAGTATTCCGGTGAGTTACAGAAACATTAACCTAAATTTTTTTAATTATTTAGCATCGAAAATTTATAATATGCTACCAGGCAAAATAAAAAGAATATCAAAAAACAAATTGTTTTCAAAAGAATGTAATACATATATCTTTAACAACTATAACTTGTTTAAAGAATTATTTAAATAAAGTAAAGAACGCTATAGTCTTCTGTATATAGAATCAATTTAAAACATTGTAATAGGACTTTAAGAGTCTTGAGATAGTTTTATAACTACATATAAATAAATGTACGAATCGTAATGAGACACATACAGATGCATATAGCATCTAAGTGTCTCCAAGAAAAGGTATATAACTTAAGATAATATTAATTGGTTGTAACATAATTATGTAACTATTTTTGTGTTTTATAAAATAAATAAATAAAAAATAAATAAATAAAAAAATTAAATCGATTTTATAAAAATCTTTAAATACAGTGTGAATACATATTGGTGAACACAAATTTCGCTACTTAAAAAAAGGTCTTTCCACTGTTACTAGAGCTAAAAATCCGCTGACGTAGCGGAATTCAACTACTCTTGGCAACACTGAAAAAAAGGCTTATTTATAGACACCTTTTACAAATTTCCGTATCGCTTAGCTTGAATCGAGGATATATGAAATTTCAGCCAAACTTTACAATTTTGATACAAAATATCAATTTATTATAACATTGATGTCAAAGGCTCAACAACTAACTATCAACTGCATTATTTAATATTATATTGCTACACATCGATTTTAAATTACGCAAAATTTTATGCCCAATAAATAAAATGTGTTATACCGCCTTTATAAATACCGGTACAGATAATGGCCTTCATACCAAGCTAGAATCAATAGTTTGTAAAAATATTGGTGTTGGAAACGAATGAATAACAACTCTTGATTAGTAAATGAACATTCGTTGCTCAGTGGCTATAAAACGGACGAATGAATGAAATCATACTAGACATTTCAGAATTGGTAAATTGACATAAAACACTCATATTTTCTTTTAATAAAATCGCAATAATGATAAAGTAAAAACTTTTCACTTTATATAATAATTGTATCATTAAATACCTCTAGATTTAAACTGCTAGATAAGATATTTACTACAAAATTGAATCAAGTAAAGCTTTTGAGCTAAGAGTTGTTCGTTTTGTTTTCAATTTTAGAAAGTAAAACATTTGTAAAGATAATGGAGATGAGAATGAACAGGAGCCTCCCGCATAAATTTATTTTATTTTTCACGTTTCTGAGAGAGACTTCAGCAATTCCGAGAATACGGATCGAAAGAATGCGCAAGATACCCATCACCGCACCGCCGTGCTAATACAGAGTGTCCCGAACAACATACGTAAAAAAGGAATCTAATATACTTTAAAGAATAATTGAGTTGCAAAAATGCTGAAGTATTACAGTAAATTTGTTATACAAGGTAGCTACTTTTTATATTGAACAGTATTGCTATGTCGAAAACCCTAAGAGTTACAAAGTCGGTTAAATGGGAAAAAAGTTGTACTATTGTAAAACTAATTTAGTGATGTTTTAAAACCGAGAACATCAGTACCGGTTTCCAAGATATAAGGAAATCCAAATCACTCTATTTTCGATTGTCGATTGCCTTTATTTTACAAATTAAAAAAAAAATTAATTAGATTTTTTATTTGGTATGAAGTAGCGCTTAATTTACCGTAGACAGATTTTTATACAACGTTTCGTTTCTGGAGGGCCACCATCAAGTATATTTTTTTGAATACGGACCTGTATTTTTTATTCTATTTTAAAAAAGTACTTTTAATCCTTAATTCAACCATGTAATACACATTAGTAGTTTAGGATGTTTTGATACTTTTTATTATTGTTATTGCAAGGTCACTATAAATTTTATTGTTTTAATACAGACCTGTATTATTTATTATGCTTTTTACTTTCCTATCTGTATACAGATATAAGGAAAGTACAGGAATCATGATTTTTTTCGACCTCGAGTTTTCGACGGATTTTTACGTTTTGAGGTCCCCTGAATCCGTTTTGACTATTTTCGCGATGATGTCTATGTGTGTGTGTGTCTGTATCCACCATAACTCATGAACCGATACACAGAAAAACACCAAATTTTAAACTTAAGCTTTGTTCTAGCGTCCAATGAACTGATTAGATTTTGGGCAGAGTCGGAACATCTGGGGGGGTACTTTATAGGTGGTCATTTTTATATTTTATGGAATATATCTGTTATTTCCGTTTGGGGAAGAAAATTCTTCAAATAAAAGTTACTTATTATATTATTATCTAATTTTTGTCCTATACAAAATTTTCCTAAAATGGTCCGTATTCGAGATATTTGAGAAAATGTGTAAATTTCGAATTTTGAAGAAAACTCAAAAACGGATAAAGAAAAAAACATTAAATTTTAAACTTAAGTTTTATTTCGGTCTGACGTGAACTGATTAGATTTTGGACAAAGTCGGAACATCTGGGGGGTACTTTATGGGAGGCCGTTTTTATATTTTATGGAATATATCTGTTATTTATGTTTGGAGAAGAAAATTGTTTAAATAAAAGTTACTTCTAATATTATTATCTATAATTTTTGTTTTATGTCAAAATTTCCTGAAATGGTCCGTATTCGAGAAATTTGACAAAATGTGCAAAATTCTGATTTTTATGAAAATTGGTGAATTAAAAGTTGTTTGCGATATCGATCTCTATAATTTTTTTGTTTTTACATGAATTTTCTAAAATGGACCGTAATGGAAAAATTGTAGGAAAAGTGCTAAATTTAAATTTTTCAGTATTTTCGTTTTCAATAAATATCTATAGAAAAATGTTTCGAGGTATATGTATGAGGGAAATGTATATATTTAGTTTAGCCTCTAAACATTTATAGAGGTGCTGAATAGGTTGTACAAAATAACCAGAAGAAGCCTATAATAACTAGATAGGAAAGTCATGTGTTGGACACATCAGATTTTTTACTTAGATTACTGCCAAAACTACACTCCTAAAATTATTTTTAAATTAATATCCGTTTCGTTACATTTGCTTCCTTTACCAGAAATTTAATAGCAATCGTACCTGAGCCATATCTGTAAAGAGGGCTGGCGGTTAATGAGGTGTCATTTTTTTCTATTTAACATACCTTAGTTCATCAAGGTAGTTTTGGCTGTCCAAAGAATATTATTGTAGACTGGTCTATCACTATTTAGGCGAGTAACAAATAAAACAAATATTCTAGAGTGATATAATAATATTTACACAAACAAACAAATTTACAAAAATTGCTCAAAATGGCCACCGTTATTTTCAGCACATAGTCGTCTTCTTTTACATGTCCTAGAAATCATGTGTGGATTAATTTCGTTGAATGCTTGATTAATTTTTTCTCGTAATTCAATTATATTTTCAGATTCATTATAGTACACTAAATATTTTAGGTATCCCTAAACAAAATTATCCAATAGATTTAAGCAAGGCGAGCGTGGTGGCCATCTTATAGGGCCTTTTGTTCCAATCCATTTCCTTCCAAATTGCTGATTTCAATAATTTCTTACGCTGTTGGCATTATGGGCTCCGCAACCATCTTGCATAAACCATATTTTTCTTCGAAGCAGTAATGGCATTTCGTCTAATATTTCTTCTAATAAATTGATATAATTTTGAGCATTTAAATTTCCTTGTATAAACTTGGGTCCAATAAGAACGTCGCTAATTATGCCACACCATAAATTTAATGAAAATCGTACCTGAGGCCGTACCTGCTGTGTTAAATGAGGGTTGGTGTTTGAGTAGTAGTGGTTATTTTTTCTGTTAAATATTCCACAATTTGTAAATGTAGTTTCATCTGTCCATAGAATATTTTTGTAGAATCTATTATTATTCAATTTTCATCGAAACCAGTTACAGAAAGTTAACCTATGGACAGGATATTCTTTGTGTAATTTTTATACAGT